TGTCACGGCAACCATCCGCCCCCTGGCTGCAAAGAGAAAGGGTGGGGGGGGGGTGCTCCATGAGTATGGGATTGGAGGCTCAATGCTACAGGTTGTTCGCTCCCTATGCAAGCGGTGCAAAGGTTTGGCTTGCATTGCCGGCAGTAAGTCGGATCACTTCAGGTTGGGAGCTGGTCTCCACCAGGGCTGCCTGTTGTCATTGATTCTGTTCATAAGTTTTATGGACAGAATTTCTCTTTGCAGCCAGGGGGCGGAGGGAGTCAGGTTCAGTGGCCTGTCAATTCCATCTCTGCTCTCTGCAGATGATGTGGTCCTGTTGGTGTCTTCGTGCCGTGATCTTCAGCCCTCACTGGAGCGTGTGAGGATTGGTGTAGGTTACTTGTGATCCCTGTCTTTCCAGCTCCTACACCTGTCCTCTACCTTAATCACCCCAGATGTCCCTCATTGTCAGTCACGGGTGTTCCTATTCATTCATTGTCTTTTCCTCCTCTTATTGTCTGTGGAGTGTCCCCCTTGGGGTCATGTCCTGTTCTCCCTCCACGTCAACTCATCTATGTAAGTTTTGCTGCCACGTCAGCTGTTATTTTGTGTAAATAAATACATTTGCTTCATTCCCAAGTACTTTGAGTTCTGCCTGCACTTGGGTTCAAACACGCTCAGGTCATAACAAAGCAGTTCACAGCCGCGTGTGAAGCGGCTGGTATGAGAATCAGCACCTCCAAATCTGAGGCCATGGTCCTCAGTCGGAAAAGGGTGGATTGTTCTCTCCAGGTCGAGGGTGAGGTTCTGCCTCAAGGGGAGGAGTTCAAGTATCTCGGGGTTTTGTTCACGAGTGAGGGAAGAATGGAGCGTGAGATTGACAGATTGGTGCAGCGTCTGCAGTATTGTGGGCTCTGTGCCAGTCCGTTGTGGTGAAGAGGAAGCTGAGCTGTAAGGTAAAGATCACTGTTTACCAGTCAGTCTACGTTCCTACCCTCACCTATGGTCACAAACTCTGGGTAGTGACTGAAAGAATGAGATTGTGGATACAGGCCGTTGAAATGAGTTTCCTCCACAGAATAGCTGGACTCTCCCTTAGAGACAGGGTGAGAAGTTCAGTTATCTGGGAGAGACTCAGAGTGGAACCGCTGCTCCTCCACGTCGAGAGGAGCCGTTGAGGTTTTTTGGGAATCTGGTAAGGATGTTTCCTGGGCGCTTCCCTAGGGAGGTGCTTTGGGCATGTTCGACGGGGAGGAGACCCTGGGAAAGACCCAGGACATGCTGGGGAGACATGTCTTGGTTAGCCTGGGAACACCTCAGAAGAGCTGCAGAGGTGGCTGTGGAAAGATATGTCTGTCTGCTCGAGTTGCTGCCCCCATGACCCGACTTTGGAACAAGCAGAACACGATGGATGGATGATGCTTACACAAGGCGGCACAGTGGCTCAGTTGATAGAGCTGCCACTGAGAAAGTCCCCGGATTAAACCCCAGCCGGGGGCCTTTCTGGATGCAGTTTGCATGTTCTCTCCGTGTATGTGTGGGTTTTCCACGGGTACTCCGGTTTCCTCCCACAGACCAAAAACATGCATGCTAGTCTGATTGGTGACTCTGAATGATGTGAGTGAGAGAGTGAACGGTTGTTTGTCTTGTTTGTCCCTGTGATGGACTGGAGACCTGTTCAGGGTGTCCCCCGCCTCTTGCACAGTAACTGCTGGATATGAGCACCAGTGACCCCTGCACCCCCCCAAAAAAAGAAGTGGGTGAAGATGATGAATGGATGCTTATTTACACAGAATTCAATGATTGTTTGCTAACCTCATTAGCAGCAGCAGTTAGTTGTAGCTTCCTGTGCAGCCCAGAACCCTCCTCCTCTTAATAATTCTGCTGGAATGATTGTAAAACGTGGAACCGATGGTAGTTTGTTTAAACTGCTGGGAAATTACGAAGATTAAAATAATTTAAGATAGCAGCAAACCACTTTTGTCTTGGCCTGCTCACATTACCCATTTCTTAACCTCCTAGGACCTGGCATCCACATATGCAAGAGTTCGGGTCTTAGGAGGTTACAGGTTAGAATTAAACTTGTTTTCTCCAAACTGAGGCTGTTGAAACAGCTGTCCTGGGGAAAGATAATAAAGGGATTGCCCATGATTTCTTGAAATGATATTCTGTCAAATAGTTATCAATAGTATCACCTTATATTAGAGCTTTAACTGGAACCTAAGTTTTTTCCCCCACACATCTGATCATTTTGAGAAATAATTGTTTTGTAAGCCTTAAAAACCATCATATGCCATTTAGTTTTCCATTAGTGAAACCTGAGTAAAGACATAATATGTTGTCTTTAACATGTAAAGACATACAGTATGTGTTATTTGACACATTACTTCAAAAATCACAATCTCACAGGCTTCCCAGACAACCACAAGCTGAACTATCCCTTTAATAGTTAAACATCTGTATTAGCTACAGTAGCATTCAGGAGTTAGCTCTCATGTTTCAACATGATCTGTGCAGGAACACTTGCGGGTTTTTTTTTATTTTATTATTAGGCTCAACACTTTAATTATAAACGAATTATCTGATATATTAGATGTGACTACAGGTCTGTCGGCTCATTTACACGCAGACAATCAATTTAAGCGACTACAGTAACCAATGATCATGTCCGAGCTTCTCGCTCATCTTCCTGGGGATCACGGTGTGAGAGAAGAACCGAGCGCACCCAAATTCAATAAACCCCGCCTCCGCCGGTGAACGCCCCCATGACGTCATCAGAATCCTCCCAGCGTGGGGCTCTCAGGGAGGAAACGTGACTGGAACCTGAGTGCTGTGACAGTCAGTCGGTGTCTGAAGACAAACAAGGAGATCTGCAGCTCAGAGAGCCGTGGTCGGACCGGTGAAGGTTCTGATCCAAACAGGAGAGGAGCCTGGATGGATGGATTCATGTAACATTTGATACTGGAGCTGATGTCTCTTCTGAGTCCACGTGCCTACTCAGCACGGGATAGTTCATTTCTATATTTAAAGGACTGATGAACTCGTTATTTCCCTCTCCATGGTGCTTGAAGGGTAAGTCATATCTTAAAGTGTGTGAAAGTCATCCACGTGCATGCTTTTAGTTTCACTCATGTGTTAGTCAAAGAGCTGCTGATGCAGTTTGGCTTTTGCACGAGTTTGTGTGTCAAACGTGTGTTGTGTTTCAGCAGAGACATGGACGGGATTGGGACCACCATGCAGAAGAAGGCTGCCGAACTGGAGCGGCTGGCTGAGGTGCTGGTCACTGGAGAGCAGCTGAGGTGGGTGTCCGTCCGTTCGTCCATCCATCCATCCATCCATCCATCCATCCATCTTTACCCGCTTCTTCCTTTCTCAGTTGTGGGGGTCACTGTATGAGAGGCGAGGTACATGCCTGGACATGTCTCCAGTCCATCACAGGGACACTTTAGAGACAAATGAGACAAACAAAGATTCACTCTCTCACTCACACCTAGGAACAATTTAGAGTTACCAATCAGTCTAACATGCATGTTTTTGGCCTGTGGGAGGAAACTGGAGTACCCGCAAAAAACCCACACATGCATCGAGAGAACATGCAAATTCCACCCAGAAAGGCCCCCAGCTAGGACTTGATCTATTGACCTTCTCGCGGAGAGGCGACAGCTCTACCAACTGCACCACCGTGCCACCATCTGCAAAACAGATGATGACTTTTTGTTTTAGTGCAAATTATTCATATAAACATATCCTGCATCCTGTTGTCAGAATGAGGAAGGACCAGGGCATGACACCCCGGGGCTGCAAGCACGCTGCGTCTGCAGCCAGTTTTCTGCCTCACTGCAGCGTTGAGTCAAACAAAGGCACTCACTCTTGCACAACCCTCCTCACCACCTGTACACCTCACACATTCCTGGAGCAATGTAACCGCAAGATTGCATAACACCGTCCCCTTTTATTGTTGCTCCACTAATAGCGCTACAGAGACTACCCTGCACCTAATACTCCTACGTTGTTATCAGGTCCTGCTTATTCACCTGCTCAGGGAATTGCACCAACAACCTTGGAAGTGTTGCTACCTCACAGCTATAGTAACTGTGAGTAAAGAGAGGCTCCGTGCTGGTGTTTCACTGCCTCATGATCTCAGCGATGAATAGAGGCTCAGTGGGGAGGCATGGCACCAGTGCCTGGAATTTGAGCCCCCTCAGACAAACAATGAGCAAAATGTGTTACTGACAAGCTGCTTTGATCCAGAGGAGTGGGAATAAAATACTGTTAGATCTTTTTTTTTAATTAAAGTGAAATATATTGATAGTGACACTTTATACAAGTCTTGAGAAAGGAGTATGTACTCTTGTTTAACTCCAGTGTGTTTCTTCTTAGTTGTTTCCGTGTGTGTGTGTGTGTGTGTGTGTGTGTGTTTAAGGTTTTGGCATCCATCACTTGTCAGCCTCTTAAAAAGCCTGCTCTGACAGGTGATCCACATCTTTAGTCCAACAGTTTGGTGGACTCTAAAGAACGTTGACCTTTGCTTCCTCTCAGTATCAGTTAGGCTGAATAAACTCTAAACTGGCTCGTTGCCAGACGAACTGCACGATCTCTGACTCGAACGTCATAAACCTTAAATTTAGATCAAATTGGACTAATACATTTCTAATGTTTGCGTCTGAATATTGATCATGGCCCATGTTTTGGTTGCGGCCCAGGCTCTAATGAGCAGCTTGTCGTCGGGGGATGAACTCGGGGGGCTGAACGTTGCACCTGCACTGTATTGTCATGTTTTGTCGGGGCGAGCACTTTAAAGTGCTGACGTTAGCGTTGAGCTCCAAGCTCTGTTGTGCCTGAATGAAGTAGCTGCTGGCGTGAATGTCCAACGTGAACAAAAACCGTGAGACGAACATGTAGCTTTGCATTGTGGGTAAACATCTCTACTTTGAGCTCATCTGTCCAGATTGTTCCAGAAGTCCTGTGACCCATTTAGAGACGATTTATCAAACCTAAGAGTGGCTGAACTTATTATTTTTATTGAAAAGAAGCTCATTCCTGTCAACACTTCCAAATTTGCTATTCTTGTTCAGTCTTTTTCTAATGATCTTGTCACAAACTTTCACCTTTAACCTGCCAACTGCAGTCTGCAGAGTTTTAAATGGAGCTCATTTTTATTTTTATTTATTTTTGCAGTTTCTGAACAATCTATTCTCTAACCTTTGGGTGAATCGCAGTTTTTCAAAATAAGAGTAGACATGACACACAGTTGGCTGAATGATGGATGAGCCGCACGATCGGCATGGAATTTTTATTTAAAATAAATTATTTTAAGTTATTTAGCACCTGCTTCACATTTGTGCAGCCTGTACTGCAGGATAAACTTCCTGCTGCAGCTGAACAGCTGATGCAGGGGTCTGAACATTTTGAATAAAATAGATGTGATTTCCTGCATTTTGGTTTATTTTAATGGGTTGTTAAAACAACTAACTGCTTGTTAAAAAAAAAAAAAAGAATAAAATAATTATTTTTATTTTTAGTTACAACTACCTTAAATTTTTTTTTGGGGGGGACCCCCAAGCGCTGGCTTGTGGAACCCCGGGGATCCCAGTTTGAGAACCACTGGACTAAATAATGCCTTACAGGGATCTGCTGTGTGTTTTTGTTCTTCCTGTTGGATAAAACCACAAAACTAAAAAAACATTGCCTTTCTTTACCCTGTGACTGAAGAATGAAATATGAAATATGATTGTATTTTATTCTGAGTAAATAGCTCTCTGCGTAAAAAAATCGTATCCTGCGTTTACCTCTCGTCTTGTTGAATACTTGTATCTTAGAGCATGTAACACCATTTACTAGAAGGGAAGGTTATACAAAGCTGTGTCATAAGTCGTCTTGTGAATAGAAAATTTGTTGCACTGTGACAAAACGTGACCGAGACGAAGACTTTGTGTTGTGTTTAACTTGAAAACAGCATAACGGGAGAAAGGAAATGCTCCTCTTCATCACTGGTTGATTTAGTCTCATCACTTTATTAATTTATTTCCAGAAGCCATTGACAAGAAAGCAAAATAAAAAAGTTATCCTTCTAGTTCTGATCATTCTGTTAGCAGCACATTATCAGTGAACACTCAAAAAGTGCAGTGCAGGGTAACAAATTAATTAGTTTATCAGTTTTATCAGAGTTCAGGAGCTGAAGGTTTGTTTTTGATCTCTTTCGGCTGCTCCCTCCTTCAGAGGTCTCCAACAACGAGCAGACTCGCATGAACACTTGGCCATTATTTTTACGCCGGATGTCCTTCCTGACTCAACCACCTAGGGCACCTGGGGGAGTAGATGTTGAGTTAAGGGCCTTGCTCAAGGGCCCAGAGTGGGGCAAATGAGGGTGGAGGCAGGTGTGGGTGCTTCTTCTTTGTCACTCAAATTTTGCTGTAACAGTACAGGGATTCGAACCGGCGACCTCTGAATCACAGGCTCCCCTTTTCTAACCTCTGTGCCAACTTAGGAATTCTGTCATATGCCGTCCACTAACTGTATGAATACAGTAAAACATATTTGTTTGAGAATCGAACCCTGAGGAACTACGTGACTAATTCTGGTGTAGGAATAGTGAGGATTGGAAGAGTCATTATTTACATTACTTTATGACTTTGTTTCCTTTTTTATAAACAAAGCTTAAAACACCTAAATAAATTATTTTAAATGATTTTGATTCCATTTTACCCGGAATACATTTTACAGATTTTAAAATGAATTTTGCTCAGCTGAGCACCAACATGATAAGTTTATATCTGAGTATTTGCTCATCAGTGCAGTCAGGCCGGCTGTCATTGTTAATCTGTAGTGATGCGAGCCAGCTGCACACGGACTCAGCATGGAGTGGAACTGGCTGCAGGGAGCTGGGCTGTTGCACAACACATGGTGGGAAAGCACAATCTGACTACAGGAGCAGGAGGGTTTTGTTGTTTCCTCATGTAATAGCCATGTTATGAATCCATGAAGTTCAAATTTGAACACCTTACATCCATAAAGAGTCCATCATTGATCTGCTTTTTCAAAAATTACATTATTTGATGTATTAATAATTTTATAAAAATATTTGATATCATGTCCAACATTTTTCAGTCAGGTCATCTGGACAGTTTCTTTTTTTGTGCTGAAACGTTTCATCTTCGATCCAGAAGGCTTCATCAGTCAAGGAAACAACAACAACTACACTGATTCTTCCTCCAACAGCTTACTCCAAAGTGGAACAAACCAGTTCTGCTTGTGATAAGATGGTCTTTTTGGTACGCCCCTCCTCCATTACCAGCCCTCTTCCTTGTTGACAGTCTTGTCAAACTGGTTGAAAACAACAAAGTTGTTCATCATGGTTTCTGATTTTTTTGTTAAGTACATCTTGATTTGTTTTACTAGATGACTGATATCAGTCTAGGTCAAAGTGAATATGAAAGCCTGCTATAATGAAAACCAAACAACACCAGTTTTTATAACATTAGTTTTTGTGCAGTGTGACATCTTCAGCAGGAACAGATGAATGTCCCACACTGCTCTTTGTTTCTAAGACAAAGGATATGGTCGTTGATTGAATGACAAAAGTCATGGTCTGGGAAGCTCAGTCCTCACCTCCTTCTACAGGTGCGCAGTGGAGAGCATCCTGTGCTCCAGCATCAACGTGTGGCATGGAGGCTGCAGAAAGAAAAGCTCTGCAGAGAGTGGTGAAGGCTGCACAGAAGTCTGTCGGAATCAGCCTCCCCACCATCACAGACATCTACACCTCCAGATGCAGGAAGAGGGCCACCTGCATCATGAAGGACCCCACTCACCCAGCACACACACTTTTTGCCCCACTTCCCTCAGGAAGGAGGTTGAGGAGCATTAAATGTAGAACCACTAGACTGAGGAACAGCTTCTACCCTGAGGCTGTTAGACTCATGAATCTCTAACTAGAATAATCACTGTGAAAAACCATATCATGTTGCTGCTGATCTGTTTCAATGTTGATGTGTTCATGCGTGCACATCCGCTCACACAGACTCATATTCATGTTTGTGCTGATGTTCAATGTTTTTATGTTATGAGTGCTTAGTGTATATTTAGTTGATGTTTTTCTTAGTTCATATCTTAGATGTTATTACGGTTTTTCTTATACATTTTATTGTTGGATTTAACTGGGACCCTGTGTACATAATTTCGCTCCACCACATGTACCACATGCGGTGCGAATGACAATAAAGAATCTCTGACTCTGACTCTGAAAAGACTCTTCAGTTGCAGCTCCTGTGGTCTTTAACGGTGAAGCTGTCAAGGTGGTGCATCAATATAAATATCTGGGAACTGTTCTCGGTGACAAACTGACCTTTGACCCCCATGTGAACTCGCTTTGTAAGAAGATCCACCAGAGAATGTGTTTTTATCGGAAGCTCTGTGGTTTTAATGTTGATCCTACTTTTATGGGAATGTTTTATGTTTTATTGAGTCTCTTAACTTTCACCTTCATCTGTTGGTTTGGACTTTAACGTGTAAGAACAGGAACAAACTCTTGAGGATTGTCAGGATGTGCAGCAGAACTGCTGGCATAGCCCTACAGAACCTCACTGACCTACACAAGGTGAGGTCAGGGAACAAGGCCAGGCTGATTCTGGCAGATCCTGATCACCACTCCATGGTGAGTTCAGGTTGCTTCCATCTAGACACAGTCTACAGTCCAGATGTAGAATGAAAAGACTGAAAAACTAATTCATCCCTGTAGCGATCAGGCTTCTCAACGAACAATGATGATTTCTATACTGTTATTTTAATGTCTCAATGTCTTGTCTAATATGGATGTTTTATGTGCCTACTGACTGAAACAAATTACCCCTCGGGGATAATAAAGATTCTTGAACTTGAACTTTTTGTCTGACACGTTACCTCCTGGTCAGACCACCAGCTGAACCTCCAACAGAACAAAACTAATGTTCTTGTCCTGTCTTCTTGTTTGCTTGTTTTCAGGTTGCGGCTCCACGAGGCAAAGGTGATCAAGGATCGGAGGCACCATCTTCGAACGTACCCAAACTGCTTTGTGGCAAAGGAGCTCATTGATTGGCTGATCGAACATAAAGAAGCTGTAGATCGGGACACAGCCATCAAGATCATGCAGAAACTTCTAGACCAGTGCATCATTCACCACGGTAAGGCTGAACTGTGTGTGTGATGTGTTTTTGTAACAGCGAGTGCTCAGTCTTGATAGTTTCTTGGAACAAGCCGTGTCTTTTAGAGAATGATTCTCCAGGTCTCCCTGCCAGTTTGGCTCCAGCTCTGTGGTTTCCATATCTGCTTTATGTTTGATTGAAGGCCGACACAGGAGAAGATGTCCTATTATTTTGCAAGCTGAAACAGAAATTGAGCTTCATGTTTACGTAACTTTTCAGATTAATGGTTAAAGGATGCTCAGATATTAGTGAGTCATTTATAGAAACTGTGAAGTCCCATCACTCTATATTCGGACAGGGATACAACGCTCCTAAACTCAGCGTATGAAACAGAAGTTTGTCCACAGATAAGAAATTTTAGTAAATTCAATTAGCATCTCAAAGCACTCCTACTAGCAACGTGCCACAACACAGTTTGTTCCCAGATTTTTCAGCCGAATCTATCAAATTTACCATATAATAATGCAACTTGCATATACAGTAGTCCCTCACTTATCACAGGGTTACGTTCCAGACACCCTCGCTATAGGTGAAAATCTGCGAAGTAAGAACGTTATATTTATTTTAGTATGTATATACATTTTAAGGCTTTGTAAACCCTTCCCACACTCTTGCAATGTTCTAAACTCTTAAACCTACGTTAGCCTAATAGCACAATTGCCTAAGTCATACTTGAACGTTTTCGGAAAACAAGAAAAACAATTTTTTTAGCAAGCATGGTGGAATTTTTTTTATTGATATTGCAACAGAAAGTTCAACCAGATATGTGAACATGTTTCCAAAAAAAGTAAGACACATCATTGATTGCATAACAAATAAAAGTGACTTAGGCAGAATATGCCTGGACTTAGGCTATTCTTCTCTTACATATAAACATAACAATAACATAACCAACGTTGTTTTACTCTCCTAAACATAACCAAGTTGTGTTACCTTTCTAACTTTAAGCAAGTTGTTTTAAATTTCTAACCTTAATGAGGTTGTTGCACTTTAACTGTAATCAAAGTCCCGCTCAGTGCTGTGTTAACTTGTTTTCACACGGTCTACTGATGATGGAGGTTGTCATAGTACTGGTGGGCCACTCTTGGTAGTACTGCTTTCATTGCCTGCAAGTCATTGAATTTCCGTAGAGTAATTGGCAGTTTGGCAGGAAAGAGTGGGACCCAGTGGAACGGTTCTTTGGGGATGCTGATTCACTGAGGTAGGTCCTCCCAGTCAGACTCAAAATTCAACTTGTACCAGATTCGACCATCTGCCAGGCACTATAGAGCCTGAAGGTCATGGACTGTGGGGTCTCCAACTTTTCTTCCTGGTTGAATGTTGGTGACATAGGCCCCAGATAACTTCATGAAGTCATTGTGGAATAGCTGGGTGACTTTGTATAGGGATGGATGCAGTCTCGAAGATGACAATGTAGTCATGTGGAGTGTGAATATCTTTGATGATGTGCCATTCATTGAGGCTATGCATGGAGTCATGTCATGATCAGCGGCCCCCGCTGGCCCCCATCTGCTCACTTCACCACACCCCCTCAGCTTATCACAGCAATCAGCCCTGATTCCACTCACCTGTTCAGCTCATCTGGTTCACCTGCTCTGCACCCTTCACAAGATCCATTTTCCCTCTCCACCAGTGCGAAATCATTACACCTTCCATGGTCCCTGATTTTCAAGCCCTCATAGTTTCATGCCTAGACCTCAAGCCTTGTTCTCTGGATTATTGACCTCACGGCTGCCTTCTGGATTTCCTGTTTTTTGCCCCTGCTCCTCATCTGGTTCTGTTCTGCCTCTCTGACCACGGTAACGACCTCCTCTTCAGTCTATGACCTCAACTCACGGATCACCCTTTTGGATTGCCCTTTGGACCACAAACTTTCATTGCCCCACTGTCCATAGCATTAAAGGCCTCCCTCTGCAGCTACCAGCAGCCTTATTAATAAAAACTGTTAATCTTTGCACTCCTGTGTCTGGCTTATATTGAATCCAAAGCCTTGGTTCGTGACAGAGTCACACTCCATTTGTGTGTTTCCTGCAACTAGAAACTTTTGTTCTATTGTGACACTATGCTTTAGGACCAGATACGCATTTGTGATGGTACAACACCGATTTTGATAGCCGCAGCCATCACTCCAAACTATGACTTTTTCAATGTTTGGGTTGGCCTCTAGGACCATCTCAAATTGTTTGCACTGCAAATGGGCAAAACCCTCACTGCTGAGGGAGGCCTCATGCTCCTCCCAGGCGTAAAGTGTGAAGGTCACTTAGAACTGTTCCTAGCTCCAAAAACTTCTTATCCTCATAGGAGGGAACCTGACGGCAGTAATGTGATGGAATGGAAGGCAGCCCAGAGAGCCAGTCTTTTAGGAAAGTCTGGTCAGCATCTGATATGGGCACATGTGGACCTAACAATTACAAAGAAAACATGGAAAAACATTGCCTGGTGTCTATGTCATTTCCCTCTATCTCAGGTCCACCGTCATCTAAGCCCTTCTCTAAGTCCTTCTCTAAGTTGGTATCAAGTTCATTTCCTAACCCTGAAGCAGAATAAAATAAAGTTCTGGTGAGTGTTAACAGTAAACCATGGTAAATGAATAGGTTCACTGCAAAACCTCAAAATATTACCAACAATACTTCTTATTTCTAGTCAAAATGTCTTATTTCCAGTCAAAACAAATATCTTTACACTTAAAATAAAAAGCAAATATTCACTTGAAAATCAGTCTAAAAACAAGTTGCTTTTTAGGTGATGTGTCTTATTTTAAGTGTAAAGAGATTTGTTTGGACTAGAAATGAGACAAATATTCTTGGTAAGATTTTGCTAGCGTTAGCTAACTCTTACATTACTTTATCATACTTTGTTGCAGAAATGTGATAAAAAGTTTAAACACACTGTTCCTAACCCCTTTGATTGACTGAAAGTACATTTACTGTCTACAAAGTAGAAGAAATGTGAACTAGCTTCCCAGATGACTCAGAGAGAAGAGCTAATGCTTCATTTGTGGTCAGCAGAGCCCTCTTTCTCATGCGGTCTGCCATCTTTGTATGTTGTGGCAAAAATGCCTAAGTCAAAAAGATGACTAAGGCAGTCAGTGATTTTAGACTTTAACAAGCTTCCTGATAGGCTGAGGACACAGGCAAGAAGGCAGGGTGATGCAGCAGTGGAAGGAGAGTAAAGTTAGGCAGACATCACAGTTTGGCCAAAAAATGACTTGGGCAATTCTGCTATTAGGTTAGCGATATGTGTACTGTACAGTACTTCAAAATTTTACTTGGGTACTCAGCAGTGAAGGTGATACAATTTGAAGGATGAGTTCAGCTTCAGGATTATTTACAACTTTCCTGTCAGTTCTGTGATCTTAATAGATAGATCGTTACTTCTGACTTTGCGTTGCAAAACTATTTTTAACACATCAGTTTCTCTGCAAGTGTTTGCTCCATTGCTGTTCTTTGAATTTTGGCAGAAAGCAGAGGCCAGAAGCACTGTTGGCTTCTGGTCCATGTAGTTCTTTTGACTTGTGTTACAGTATAGGCTTATGGAAAGAAAACTACAAAATGGCAGTGCCTCCGAAGTATTTTTTTGTTTTGCTTTTGTTTTTTGTGCTATTACCGGTAGTTGGTTCCTGCTCCCGTTAACTTTTTATCCCGTACCATCCCAATCACGCAAATACTACAAAAGTTGACAATTGTGTGTCAACACATGTATATTGTGTGTACACACAATATAAAAAACTGGGTTTAAAAAAACCTGCAATATACTGAAGCCACAAAAAGTCAGCCGCAATATAATGAGGGACTTCTGTAATTGTATTTTCTTTCCAACAAGATGAGTCCCACAGTCGGACGCAAGAAGTGGATGGATACTGAATTCAAAAGACCTTCAGACGTCCTGGAAATCTGCTGATTAGGATCACTTTATAGGATTACAAGAAAGTTTCAGTTCTTGGAGGAAAAAATAAATAGAAACTAGGGCTGGTTGAAAACTTTTGCACAGCACTATACACTGGACTAACACTAAAAAATGTAACTGAACATTAATTGGACTGAACAGGCTTTTATTCACTCTGTGTCGTGTTTGGTGAGCCGTTCATCTCTAACAGTTGCTTAGCTTACCAGGAAAGTGTTAAACAGTTTTAATTGTTTATCTTTTTCCATAAATGTTTTTCGGCACCAAACCTTGGGATACTTTTTTTCCTTGTGTTATTCTTTGCAGGTGAAATTAAAAGGTGTTTTAAGCAAGTTTCTGTCCCTTTGCAGTGTGTGACGAGCACCGGGAGTTCAAGGACATGAAGCTGTTTTACCGCTTCAGAAAAGACGACGGGACGTTCCCGCTGGATAATGAAGCTAAGGTCTTCATGAGGGGGCAGAGGATCTATGAAAAGTAAGAACACGGATACACAGCCATGTTGAAGCAAACCCACGTGCAGAATTCATCAATCAGGTCTCAACGTTCGTCTTTTCAGCTTGTAGTTATTAAAGAATGGTGCCACATGTGTAAAGAAAAGAAAAAAACTGTTTTTAATGACAAAGAGTTATAGTGCTTTTTTTTTTAACCTGGATTAGTCTGAAAACTGGAAACAGGAGAAATGACAAGGTGTCTTCTTATTTTCAAATGAATTTAGAAAGACTTAAAAATCTGCACTTGATAGGGTCAAAGAGGATATCTAAAATCCCAAGCAACCTGAAAACTCTGGACAAAAAAATCAAAACACAACTTTGGCTTTTTGTTAGGAACAGCCTTAGCCTAAAATATCTCTTGTATGGTTTGAATTTGCATGACTTGTCTCCATATATCATCTCCACCCAGCTTCAGTTTTGAACCACACTGACTCCTGCTTTTCTCCGTCTGTTATAAAGTTGAACTGGAGAAAGAAACAAGACAATAATGCTCTCACCAGCAGTTACTTTAATGCGTTATATTTTGTCGAGGAAATGCAACTTCTTATTAGTGTTTGTAGTTTTGTTTCTCAGTCAGACTTACACATTTCCATTTGTCATTTAATGCAGACATTTCTAAATATTGACTGTCTATGCAACAACATTTATCGTTAGCACCTACAGAAAAACAGAAGCAGAGACTGACAGGGAAGCTCCAGGGTTACAGTTCACTTGAGTAACTCTGATATTTTTGATAGTTCAATTTTATGTTATTGATTGTAACATTTGTATTTGACGTGTAATGGGTTATTTTTACAAACTCAACCAGCTGAATCAATCCATCCATACATCCATCCATACATCCATCCATGCATGCATGCATGCATACATACATACATACATACATCATCTTTATCCGCTTCTTCCTTTTTGGGTCACGGGGGTCACTGGTGCCCATATCCAGTAGTCACTGTGTGAGAGGCGGGGGACACCCTGGACAAGTCTCCAGTCCGTCACAGGGACACATAGAGACAAACGAGACAAACAACCAGTCACTCTCTCACTCACACCTTGAGACAATTTAGAGTTACCAATCAGCCTAACATACATGTTTTTGGTCTGTGGGAGGAAACCAGAGAAAATCTACACGTGCACAGAGATCACATGCAAACTTCACCGAGAAAGGCCTCCAGCCGGGATCTGAACCGGCGACCTGCTCACTGAGAGGCAGTAGCTCTACCAACTGCGTCACCGTGCCACCCAGCTCAATACAATATATAATTTTTTTAAAAGAAAACAGCATTCTGCAGCTGACTGGTTGTCTTCTTCTTCATTCTGGAAAAGAGGAGCATTTCTGTGGTATTATTATTAGCAAATAATATCTTACCTGTCGTAGATAGCTCTTTAAATGACTACAGTTCAGAGAAAATGTGTTGAATTCTGATTAGACTGACGAGCTGAGCCTGAATGGGGCCAAGCCCAAAGCAAATTGCTGGTCTTTTTAAAAGCCCCAACAATAATAATAATAAAACGCTTCCCACGTCTTCTATGTGTAACTCTTGTTCATAATATTTTCACAGAACCCCACAACTGTTGCTTGAAGTAGTTTATGTTTGTTATATCATTCTGGTAGTTTGGAGTTTGAAACGTGAGTACAGGCCGTGCCTCATACAGCTGGAAGCACTTTGTTAAAGGCCACTGAATACTGATGTCAATCTTATTACTGTAATTAGTTATATAAAAACAACTTTTCCTTTTAAAGGAATACATGCACAGGATCTGATCTGGTAAAAAGTAACAGTTGATGCATGGTCAGCTAGGTTAGGCTGATTGTGTAAATCAGATATTTTGCTATTATTAAGAAAAATAGACCAAAACATCAAGTGACTGCTTCTAGGATGTACATTTTTCCACAAATACTGCTCTTTGTCTGAAAACACCATTACTTCCATCTGCATCCCTTATTATCATGTACTTTTTTCATCTGATTAATGTAATGTTTTGCTGATTGAGTGCACTATAAATAGTACCACCAGTAATTCAGAAACATTTATCTGATAAATGCTTCTTATCAGTTGAGCGTGCTCAGCGTTCAGCTTGTCTGCATGTTTTTCTGTTTTGATAGCGATAAAAGCTGCAGAACAGGGAATGCCAGAAACCACCGACACTTAGATACCGAACAAGCAATGACTTGAGCTGTTTCCTGAGGACCACACAGACAGGAACGCTTGTCGTCAGCTTCATGTCTATGGTGCAGGTTTTCCACTGGTGGCAGCACAAATAGTGTATGTACAAACAACCCATGGTTTTCCTGTTGTGTCCGAAACCAGAAACAAACTGTTCATGTCTCTTTACGCACACACACATTGATGTGCACTTTTTTTTTAAAATTTACAACCTTTTCTCGTAAGTGTTTCTGAGACTAAAACATGCATCAATACTCAGAAAGACACAATTTGTTGCGTAAGAAAAAAGAAACGGTGCAAGAGGAGGCATCTGTCATATCAGATCCCAGTGCTGTGTTTATGTAATCAGCACGGGGCGGCTCGACACTCTCACACACTAACACACACACTAACACACACACACTGGACCTTAAGGTCGCTTGTTTGTGAACTAGAGATCTCTACAGATACACTTGAGGTGAATTACTGACAAACATTTCCATCTGAGGCATGGCTCCTCATCACCCAGGGCTTGGTAACCTTTGCAAATTAACTCGTGTGCTATTGGTTTATTTTTGTGATTCTTGAAGACATTTAGTTTTTTAACGTGGATGTTGGTTCTTGACCCAAAAGGCTGATTCTCCTGTGTTGTGCATTTATGTTGTTTTTCCGTTTCCTCTACATCCCATTTGGGCAAAATGAGGCACAAGATAACGCAGATAATGAATTAAATCAAGTCTTTTACCTCTTTAATATCAGTTTACAGCTATTAATGTTTGTAACTTAAACACCTTGCTTTGTAAGGCTTCTCAAGTCAAAGTTTGCGCTGACAGAAACAGTCTGCAACAACATTCTTTAAAAGAATGCATGTCAGCTGCCTTGCAGCAACGTTTGAAACAAAGATGGTGTATGATATGTTTGGGGTATGTGAAGAGGACAACTTATCAAGATCCTTGTGTTGTGTTTTTGTCTTCTTGTGGTTTCCTCTGAGTCTGTTTTACTTGTGTTTCCAGCTTCCTCTGTGTTTTTCCCCTCAGCTCCTGCTCCTCCCACTCTCACCTGATCCTCACTGTGCCTCCTCAGGCGTTTGTCATCGTCTGACGTTAGTGTCCCTTTAAAATACGCCTCATTTTGTTTGTCTCGTCTGTGGATTGTGCGTCCTAAAGCCGTTCATGCTCTGTCCCTCCGTGTCTCCCTGAGCTCAAATTTGTGCAAGCCTTTGATTTTGTGTGTATTATTAAGTCAGTTTTCTTTATTTTTACCTCAGAGTCCCTCATGCCTGTCTGCACCCTGGGCTCAACTCCAAACAGAACATGATAACTCTCAACTACTACCACACTAAATGTTAGTTCAATATTTGTAAAAGTGACTATGTATGTGTTTGTTAGTGTTAATTAGATGGGGCAGCCCCATGGCTTGACTCCAAGAATCAATCGATTGTAGATGTACATCAAACTTCCTGAGAGTTTTAATACAATCTATGCTGTAGTTCATGAGATAATTTGCTAACACACGCATGCACACACGCACGCATACACACACCTTTCATGGCAGAAAGCAATAATGAACGTTGCCAACAAGACAAATCATGACTCTACATTGTCAATGTTTAACTAGGAGTAGACGAAAAAAGTCATGAGATAATCTCCTGAAGGGATATTGTTGTTGACCAGGCTTTGCACCTGTGCTGTAAGGGTGTCTTCTTTGTAAAAAGATAACAAAAAGTCATAAAATCTTCCATCAAATCACCTTCAGTAATATGGATAAATACACAACAAACAAACAACATTTAGAAAAGATGTGACCTCATGTTGTCATATTAGTAAATCTGAGTAAAACTTCACTGACTGGATTGTTCATTATTTTTTACTAATGGTAAGATGTTATATAGATGCAGGTGATAGACTAAACCCATCAGTACAGTGCATGGGCCTTTACCCCCCCTCCCCCCCCCCATCTCCCACTCTATATAAAGGTCAGAATGCTCCTCACTCAACTGGACTGCATGTACGGCACCGCTCAGCCTCTGTCCTTTGCATGTACCAGTTTTTGTCTGAGGGTGTTTTGAGGCTTAAAGTTCACCAGAGTGCTGTGGAGTCTGGCAGCAAGGTTTATGGACAATACCACTAATTTAAAACAGAAGAAGTTGGATCAAAAATTTTAAATTAGCAATCATAAGCAACGGTTCACATTTGTATTGTGCATCTTCTTCTGTGCAGAATGAACTAACAAAGCTACATTTGCAGTTTATGTTAAGTGTTTATCGTCTAGTTTTTCGTTTGAAAAAGAAACATCCTGCTCCTCACCAGCGTTTATCACCAACAACTGTTGACTGTCAAACAGCAGCGTCTAATAAACTGAAGACAGATGTTGTTTTGGCACCAGTTTCTGAAAGACCAGGAGAGAAGATTTGTCCAGTTACTTCTTTAAAAACGTGTTTTCTTCATCGCTCGTGGAAACTGTGTTAATGTGTGTTTGGTCTAAACTGGTGCATCCAGACACCCACAGTTTCTACAAAATTGAGATTAACCCCCCCCCCTCCAAAAAAAATAAAAAAAAATAAAATAAAATAAAATAAAATAAAATAAAAAAGATTGAGGAAACTATACTTTAAGCAATAAAAAGTGGTTCTTGTCCTGCTCGACCTAACCACTGCCTTTGATACCTGGACCACAACATTTTAATATCACGCTTACAGCATCAAGTGGGTATCTGTGGTACTGCACTGAACTGGTTTAGGTCCTATCTGGCAGACAGAACCATGTCTGTCAACATAGCTGGTTCTGAATCCTCCACTGCTCCTCTGTGTTTTGGGGTTCCACAGGGCTCTATTTTAGGTCCCCTGCTTTTCTCCCTTTACCTGCTTGGGATCAATCCTTAGAAAGCATGGGATTTTTTTTCACTGTTATGCTGATGATAGTCAGATCTATATGCCACTAAAGAAGAAAGATGTCCCCTCAATCAGGCCACTTCTGTTGTGTCTTGAAGATGTCAAAGCCTGGATGTCTTTAAACTTCTTAAATTTCAATGAAAAGAAAACAGAAGTGATGGTGTTTGGTCCTAGTGGCTCTTGTGAACCTTGCCCTGTTGATCTGGGCCCTCTGGCACCACATGTAAAGAAAACTGTTTCTAACTTGGGTTTTAAAATGTGCAGTGATTTTAAATTAGATTCTCAGATTGGAGCGGTGATCAAGACCAGTTTTAATCACCTCAGACAGCTGGCTAAGGTAAAGCCTATCCTTACAAAACAGCAGCTGGAAACAGTAATCCATGCCAGCAGCTGGAAACAGTAATCCATGCCTTCGTCACATCTCGGCTGGATTACTGCAACGCTCTTTACCTTGGAGTCAGCCAGTCCTCCCTCAGACGCCTCCAGTTGGTCCAGAACGCTGCTGCTCGGCTTCTAACTGGAGTTCAAAAGAGGGAGCACATCACCCCCACTCTGTCTTCACTCCACTGGCTGCCTGTTCATTTTAAGATTATTTTATTTGTTTTTAAAAGTTTAAATGGTCTTGCCCCACCCTACCTCTCTGATTTTATGTGTACATCTGTGGTTGTTTTAAAGGGATTTACAAATAAAGTTTTTTTATTATTATAGAAATCATATCCACCATTCGGACAGCACAGTGGCTCAGCTTGTAGAGCCTCTCAGTGATAAAGTTGCCAGATCAAATCCCAGCCAGGGACCTTTCTGGGTGGAGTTTGCATGTTCTCTCTGTGCATGCATGGGTTTTCTCCAGATACTCCAGTTTCCTCCCACAGACCAAAAACATCCATGTTAGACTGATGGATAACTCTAAATTGTCTCTAGGTGTGAGTGAGAGAGTGAACGGTTGTTTGTCTCTGTGTCCCTGTGATGGACTTGAGACCTGTCCAGGTGTCCCCTCCACCTCTCACACAGTGATGGCTGGACATGGGCACCAGTGACCCCCGCAATCCAAAAAAGGAAGGAGCGGGTAATGGATGGATGGAAATCCATCTATAAGCAAAACAATGTATTTATACTTTTCAAGATTTATGTTGCAACCCCCCTCCCCCCAATAATCAGCCTTATGTGGTTTGGTCCATGGTACACCTGCCTGAGGACTGAAGCTGTGGAGCCAGCATGAATAAATAGGTTTTTACAATTGTAAAAGCTCCTTGTTAGCATACTGGTGGGTTTGATTCTTGTCATGGAACTTTATTGTTAATTTTTAATCAATCCCCCCCACACCCCCATCCTCAACCCAAAATGCTCTTATTAAATTGCCCTGATTATTGTCACCACAATAATGAAGCACAGTTTCCACATTTGACTTTGTCTGCATTGGTGTAAACCTTTAACACACCTTGTTGTGTTACATTCACCCAGCACGCGTTTGTAGTTACACAACCACATGTCTAAAAAAAAAAAAAAAAACCAGACAGCTTGGATAGTTTTAAACCAGTTATATCACTGCTGTCATTGTAAACTATATGCAAGCATGCTAACTTGCATATAAGGTTCTTTAATGCATCACTTAGGAGGTGTTGTGCGCTGTAAATCTGAGAATGTGATTTTAAGGCCGCCTGTTTACAATGCACACGTATCAAACTACTGGTGTAATGGAAATGGATAAAGTAGAAGCTATTAAGCTGTAAAAGTATATAACTGATTATACCTGATCATTTATATTGGCTTTTAGGCGTGAACAAGCGATATACGTGATTACTAAGATAAAGTGTTGCTTGTTTGCATTTACATAATTGCCCACTGCTATTAAAGAAACCAAATAAATTACACAAAAGAGAAGAAACAATCATACATTGCAACAATATCTCCCTAATAAAAATGATCTTATTTAAAAAAATCAGGTTGACTAGTTTTGAAAGGATCTGCAAACATTTCTGTAAAAAGGATCAACAGCTCCAGTGATTTGTTCCCCTGCAGCTCTACTTTAAAACCTGATGTATGCAGATGTTCACATTCTGTTAAGTCAACTCAAAAAGTGTTTTTTTAAATATTCAATTATTGCAACATTTGTGTTATGCTCTCATCTCTATTGTGAGCCAAATCAAGTTTTACTAAAACTCCAAGTCAAATAAGTTTGATATCCAACTAAACGAGTTGTTTGGCTTTAGCATTTAAAGAACATCTCTGATTTTTCGTCTCAGACGTTTTCTGCTTCTGCTTTTTATATAACTCAGTTCAAACCTGCGAACTACAGCCTGCATTAATTGTACGAGCCTCCGTCACTGCGCGGTGCAATCAGCCGGACTGAGAGGACGACTCAAAGTGCCTGTGAGGATGTGAAGCTTTTAGGAGGGAGAAAGCTTTTGATGCGCTGCACCTAAATTAGCTTTCATTTAATTTAATTTGGATTTACTAAAGTCCCAGCTCAGCTTCATCAACTGGAACGCTGTCCCTTATTTTCTGCTTTTGAATAATTACGTTTTTTTTCTATTAGCAGATGCTTTTATCTAAAGTGGCTCATAACTGAGGAAGTTGCAGAACCTGCAAACCTGAGGCAATGAAGGTTTCTGCGTTTTACCCCAGGACCCACAACGGACACACAACAGACACACAACACATGACAAAACAGGAAAACACTCCGCTCATTGAAAGCTCATTTACAGGTTTTTGTTCATTCACTCCAAACCCAAAGTACCGTTGACTTATTTTACTGTGTACTAAAAGTCAGAGCACTTTATTCCCATTTGATCTGGACATTTTAATATGTGTTATTAAAGCTTAAAAAAAGCACATACAATGCAAAAGTAGTTATTTTTTAATCCATCAGGAGAAACTACAAACAGGAAAACAACAGTGTGATTGCTGAATCTGTGTTCCCACTATTTATTCAACAGCTGAACTTATTTCTAAGTTTATTCCCACTTCTTGAGCTTTCTCCCTTTTTTTCTCCACCACAGGTTGATGAACACAGAGAACAACTTAATTCAGACGCGACAGGAGGAAGCTGTGTCCTTTGAGCGGACGCTGGTTGCTTCCGAGTTCACCGACTGGCTGTTGCAGGAGGGGGAGATGCCATCCAGAGAGGAGGCCGAGCAGCTGGGCCGGAGACTTCTCGAACACGGCATCATTCAGCACGGTGAGGAGCATTAATGCTGACAATAACCTGTAAGAGTCTAATGCAGCCTTCAGAAGCAGAGGGACACTTCCATGTATTTTGCTTTGTGTTGTCTGTTGTTCTGTCTGTACAGCACTTTGGTTGGCTTTGTCACTGTTTTAAGTGCTCTATAAATAAAATGGTATGGTATGTGAGTTGTTAGGGAATTTTTGGTCAAAGGTTTGGATGCTTTTAATTACTATGTCTGAGTGTTAAATCTGTCCATGAACCACATGTTTGGTGTTAGAAAGCTGGATGAGTAAAGGCTCCCACATACTCAGGCGTACCTTGTGTACTCCGTGAGCCACGCAGACACTGCACAGATGGTTGAGACTTCATACTTGATCGTACACCCCGACCGACTGCAGCCAGCACTGCAAGCAAGGGACGTTTACCTTCGGGACAAATTGAGGTCGCCGATTGGTAATTTGCTGACACGCCTACAGGATTGATTGACAGGTCACAAAAGAAAAATAAAAAAATAATTAAAACGGGTGCTACCGGCGGCCCTGGGTAGAGGCAGCTGATAGCCCAGGAGCAGAAGCAGCGGTGTTCTCTTTATATGTTGTTAATAAAAAGTTCTAAAAAAAACCAAAAAACAGGGAGCACTGACCCTGCAGCCCACACATCAGACCAGCCCACTAGGAAATCTCCAGACCCTCTCGCAGCCACGCTGGGCCTGATTTTAATTATTTTGTGACAAATTCCTTAATTTCTCACCATTTCAGTCATGGCATCAACAGACGAGGAGGAAGAGACCTCTTGGAAAAAAAACAACAAAATAAAAGGCCATTAAACCAGATCAGGGATGAAGAAGGGGAATTTACTACATTGGTGTCACATACAAAACAGTTTGTCGCCGAGCAGTTTATTGAGCGACACCGACTACGCCGTATGTGTCAAACTCAAGGCTCGGGGGCCGAATGTGGCCCTCGTTGACGTCTTTTCTGGCCCCCAAGATGTTGTTTTAAATGTAAAATACTTTTATCACTTTAAATTTTTTCAGTAATCTTTGATTATGACGTCCAAACTGCAACAGAGAACGTCAAATGAGACCAATCAAACTCTTGTTGAGGAACCTGCAACCAAGAAAAGATGTTCGGTATCTAATTTGAGTTAATGTAGGTTCTGAAACCGGCCCTTAGTTTGAAAAGGTTTTAATTTTGGCCTCCTTTTGTAAGTGCGTTTGTCACCCTACGCGTACATGGTCGTAAAAATGTATCTTTGCGCGGATATGTCTTGAGGGCGTCCGCGTTTAGTATAATCCGGTATGCGTGGACTTCCACAGAGTGAAGTACACCCGAGTATGTGGGAGCCTTGGGGCTGCAGCGTGCAGCTGGTGCTCCAAGGATGCCTCCGAGTCTGTGAGCTCAGCTGAACTAATAAGAGTATGAAAACAAGCTTCACACACGGCTCGTGGCAGATTCTTGTGACTGGTCTTCGTGTGTACTTCCTGTATTTCTGTGTAACCTGCCCTGAAAATCTGACCTTGCAAGTATTATGGTTAAAGTTAATGGTTAAAAGTTAACGGTTAAAAATCTTCTCCTGTCTTCCGAGTGTGTCTCCTGAGACAAAGCGAGAATGTTTTTCTCGAACACGAGTGACTCACTCTTATTAATGAATCACACAAAGTTGTCGTGTCACCATTGCTCTTTAGAAGAGTTGTGTTTAAATCCCCCTGAAATATTTTCTGTTAGTTTGTAGTCTATACCTTGGCTAACTTTAGATCATTTATGCTGCTCTCATGTTAAAAACGCAAAAGGGATTTATTTTTATTAACTGTAAAGTAAATGCAGATCATTCAGTAATTTTCACATGCATTTTCTTTTCAAAGTATTGCTTTGTTTAGAACAACTGCCCCCAAGAGACAAAGAAAATCTGTCTAAAAGCCTTGCGGTTGCCAAGTTGAAGTTCTGTTAACGACACTTTAGGGAAGTAAACTGGTTCTCCCTGTAGTCCAGTCCTGGCTCATGTGACGGGGTCAGAGGGTTCTGATTGTGCACCCACTTCCTCTTTAACTTGGACACCAAACCACTCAAATGTTTCTGCTGCACGTGTCTTATTTTGTACTTTTCTTTTTCTGTCAGGCTATGAGAACTGGCAAAACCAAAAGTCCAGCACACTTCTTTACAAAACAGGAGAGTTTGAACCTTCGCTAGTTTTAGACAAAAACAAGACCTGGTTCACTAATTTAGCAACATGTTTAGATGAACTTAACGAGGATTATAGTTCAGATTGATTTGCTATAACCCATAAAACTAATCTCGGTCTCTGAAGGCTGTGTGGATTATTTTAAATATAGAAACTGTGCTCGTTTTTGTCCTAAGCCTCGTTACTGCTCCTTTTGGATTCTGAACTGACCCACATTGTAGCTCACACAGACTGGGACTGTATTTTTTATTTGCTCTTGCTGCTTGTAGGACCTAACCCTTCTCTGGGCTGCGTTCAAGACTGAGTGTTGAGTGAGAAACACAAGGGTGTGTGTGTGTGTGTGTGTCTGAATTTCACAAACTTCAGCAAGTCATCAGGTTGTTTTGACTTTATGGTCAAGATGCTTTTCTTATTATCTATGACCAGGAGGTACATAAACTTTTTTTTTGTCTTCCACCAAAAAGCAAAAGATGAGCAATGATGTTTTTGTTTGTGACTCTGAGTGCATGTGCACATTTTTTCTGTCTGCTAGCAAATTGTCTCCTTAACCACTGGATAAAATTTAATGAAGCCCTCAGAAAGTAATCTCTGGACGTTCATCTTTAACTAGTTAGCTTTGGGAGTCAATCCCATTCAAGATGGCTGCCACAGCTAATTAATCATACAAATATGGCGGTAACAGTCAGTTTTACAGATGTTAAGCTAAAATGTTGTGGAGTAGTAGCTGGGAGTCACCCCCAACACATACTATGTGCTAACATGAAACCTGTTCAAAACGTTGCATGAACTGTTGGAGTCAACCCTGTGTGTCTGTCTGTTAGTAAAATATCTCATGAACTACTGGATGATTTTACTGAAACTTCCAGAAAGTAATCGTTCTACAAAGTCTCCAGAGTCTGCAGTTATCCTGTCACTGAATACCCTGAATAAATCAGTTTCAGTGAAATGAGTTTTACATTTATTAAACACGCTGTGTACTGAAAAGTTGTTCAGCCACTACTTTGTTATCTTAAAATCTTTCGCTCAAGAAACAATACTTTAGAAATGAGCCTGTAATGTTTTTAAGCCGAGATGGAACTGGACCTGTTGACCTGTTGGACAGATTTAGAATAATTACTACAGTGGTTCAGTTGTACTGATCTGAATTTCCAGCATTTCCAACTTGTGTTTAATAACATAATTATTGTGAACACAGAGACACTCAGGAGCTTGGTAAAACTTAGGCTCTTAAATGATTTCTGGTGAAAATGGAAGGGTTTCGTTGCATTTGTACTGTTCATTTACACGAAAATAGCAAATGTTTTCTCTGACAACGGCACAATTTGAGAACGGGTTCCAGAGTGCAATGGTTCAAAAACATCCCGGTGTCCGTTGTCGTGTGGACAGAAAAAATAGATATTTTCTGCAAGTCCCTGGCTCATGCGCAGTATGATGCAAAACATAACGGCTTCCTGCAATCCACAGAAGAAGAAACTATCGACAATGGCAGATACCAGAGTATGTTTGTGCTTCTGACTCTTATAAATCTAACTACGGCTCTCCAACACAGTGCATTCATTTTCTACCTTTTTACTTTAATCATCGAAGACGAATACAGTTTCAAAGTCACCCTAAGCAACAGTTAAACTTAATCATCTGTCCATAGAAACATTTAATTCTCTCCCATCTCGACCGTTGTAGCGGCTTTCAGGTAGAACATTTTTATTTTATTTTTTTTACACATGCACACAGAGTTCCAAGTTTCAAAGAACAAAGCACCAACTAGAGGCGTGGCGCGGAAATTTCACCTTTTCCATGTCTACCATTGCTGTGTAAATAGATTATTTAGAACGTTTTCGTGTAAATGTGTTAATAGGAATGCAGAAAAAATTCAGTTTTCATTGGATCGTTGTCGTGTAAACAGGGCCTTAGAGGCTGATTTGATAAATAGTTACCGTAATGTGAAGAAACAAGTTGTTGCACATCGTCTGGGCATGATATGGATGAGGCTGCTCCACATGGCACTGCTGAAGGATGACTGTGAAACGCCTGACTGGCAGCTGGTTGGTGCGATCCCCAGAAACACTCTGTCTCAGTTCTTCAATTGATGATGTCCTCCAGCAGCAATAAAGCTGCCATTGTTCCACAATTATGTACAACTTTAATCTTTTGCGTCTCGCAGATGTGCAGTAACTGATGTGTGTTTACATCTACATGTGACAAAAATAGAGCAAACTTTTCAGTTTACATTGAAATGATGTTGTTTTGATTATTTTTGAGGTGTGCTATATGTTATGTTGTATGGGGTTAAATGTGGTCCAGTTTCATTGTTCAACTTTAAATCCACAAGTACTCAAATTCATGAGAAAACATTGGGTTTAAGTTCGTTTATGCAAGTTCTAGTATTTTCTTGTTGACTGAAAAAAGTTTGCTTGGCGGTAATCACGTTCTCACGTCATGTGAAAAGTTTGCGTATATTTACACGCACCGTCATGCAACATTCGTTTTGACACATCCCGATGTGAGTGGGGAGCGTGGCATACGCAATGTTTTTGTGCACACTCACCATTCATAAAAGAGACCCCTGGGCTGAGATGGAGGTGACTTATTAGACAATATGAAAACCAGTTCTAAGAGACTAATCCATTACATCCTATTAACTTTTTATTATTTGATAAAAGTGTGAAGAAGCAAAATAAAAAACTACCCCATGATTCTTCAGAACATGTGTTTTAATCTTTCCATACGTCTAGAAAAGGATTTGATTAGAATGTTTGAGTGTGAGAGGAACTGAAAACTGCAACATTTTCTTGTCATGTTAGCAGATTTACTTGCATGTGTGATTACATGTTGCATAATCATAGTCAACACCTGCAGTTTAAATATTTTACCATCTAGTAAAAGCATGCTTCTCTGTCAGTAGATGCATGTACAATACTGGTAATTGCATGTTGGATTCTGTTCTGAGATGGGATCGATGGCTCGTTGCAGGGAACTGGATCTTGACGATACGTTTACTTCATAGAGCTGTTCAGTTTTGAACGAGTGATGTCATCACATATGACATATGTGATGATGTCAGGGCCACGCGGTACGTCAGGGCCCCTATGTGTTTTGGAGACTCATTTGTCTGTAGGACTGAGGAGGAAAACTTGAAGAAACTACAAGGAGGAAAAATGAAAACTAGGAACGGTTTGCAACTCGGTTCTTATCGTTCGTTGTAAAGTGCCGTTCAGACGATCTGGATCGTTCACAGACCAGCAGATGTTTTTATCCTCCTCTTGTGAAGTCCATCTGTAACCCGTCTTAGACATTTTCCAGAACAATTGCCTGGCTGAGTTTTTGTAGGGTCACCACATGACAGAAAATTGGATTTTTACTTAGTTTTTGATTAAATTGGACTGTTTTCCTGTGGAGAGGTTACACATTTTTGTGTTAGAGTTTTACTTTCACTTTAGAGAAGTTTGATTAAAATGGACATGCCGATTTGATCAGTTATTTATACTAAGTTACACTAACGTGGTATTGCTAACACAACATTTTTTTTGGGTAAAATAAATACACCATAAACACTTTGAAAAGCACTCCCCCCCCACCCCGCGCCCCCCAAGTCCCCCAACATTGAATATAAGAATCCAAATCCTCTTTCAAATTTAATGTTTCTTTTCCTGTGGTAACTCGGTGGTCTGTGGTTGTGTCAGGAAGGACATGCGGCGTGAAACAACTGCCAAATCCTCGTGTACGTTCGCTCACTGTGGTGACCGCTCAGCAAGGGAATGACTAAAAGATATACAAGCCCAGTATATAGATTTTTGTCAACAAACAGAAAAATCTCACCTTTCGCCCACCTCCATCTCAGCTCTGGCTTTGTCAGGAGCGGGGGAGACACAATAAACAACAAAGTACTGCAAACGGTGGCACTAGTGAAAGCTGTAGATGATGTTCTTACTACCATATTTTCCGGTGTATAAGTCGCTCCGGAGTATAAGTTGCATCAGTCAAAAAAGCATCACGGAGAGGAAAAAAACATATAAGCCGCATTTATTATATGTTTATTTAATGGTCAAAACAGCTTCATTTCTCCTGGGTGGCGCGGTGCCATCCATCCATCCATCCATCCATCCATCCATCCATCCATCCATCCATCCATCCATCCATCCATCCATCCATTGCGGCCAGAGCCGCTAGCTCTCTAGCATTCCTCCACCTGCACCAGCTGAGTGAAGAGAGTGTGCACGGGAAGACTCACTGTTGCAGTTCTTAGAAATTTAACAAGATTAACACTTAAAAACAATTCTTTGTTTGCTCGACATTATAGCAAAGGTGTGTCACAGTTTAACTTTTCCTTAATAAATGCACTTTAATGGTCAAAACAGCTTCATTTCACCTGGGCGGCGCAGCTTCATCCATCCATCCATCCATCCAGCCAGCCAGCCAGCCAGCCAGCCAGCCAGCCATCCATCCATCCATCCATCCATCCATCCATCCATCCATCCATCCATCCATCCATCCAGCCATCCTTCCAGCCATCCATCCATCCATCGTGGTCAGAACTGTTAGCTCTCCAGCATTCCTCCATCCATACCAGCTGAGTGAAGTGAACGTGCACGGAAGGACTCGCTGTTGCAGTTCTTCGAAATTTAAAGCATCAGTCAAAAATTGCCTTATGAATATAGGGGAAAAAACATATATAAGTCACTTCGGCATATAAGTCGCAGGACTGACAAATCTAAGCAATAAACTGCGACTTATACGCCGGAAAATACGGCATTTTATTATCTAACTACATTTACGGGGAAGAGACTAATATCGCCTTCAAAAGGAAGAAAATGAGTGAAAACAATACTGAGATGGTTCATCACATGACTGAGTTCTTTCTGCTCCTCCTCTCTGCTCCCGTCACACAATAAGTCCATCCGTCCTCTCTTCTTTCACTGACCTCCCATACTTCAGCCTCCAAGAGCTGCAGCAGAGCTTAGCAACTACAGAGCAAAGGAATGTAGTGACACGCACGCACACACACACACGCACACACACACACACACACACACACACACACACACACACACACACACACACACACACACACTGGGACACACACACACACACA